CGTAAGAATCTAGAAAAATAGACTTACCGCTTCTCCGCCCTGTCAACCGACCTGACCTGAGTTGCTCTCCGTGGCAGTGATACTCCTGATTAGTCAGTTAGGGCAGGAAAGAACAGGACTGTTCAAAGAACTTGCGACTCGAGCCCAGGTTCTTGCGTCTACGAGCCACGTATGTCTAGTATGGCTCCGGTATTGAGTTGATCGGTACTTTGTGGTGTACGGGTACAGTCGTGGAGCAGGGAGGGTTTGCTGTCAATGAAAGCAGCGCCAGCTGATCAGTCACAGGGTAACCAGTAGGTCTGAGTACCCCTCTAGCAAACAGTAGAGAAACCGCAAGTGTGCAAAAATGTTTTAAGATAGGAGAAGATAAGTGAGCTAGTGTGGAGGATGATGTGGGGAACTGGTTGGACAGAGTAAGGGTGAAAAGGTAGTTGAAGTAAATGGGGATAATATTGCTAATAATAAAGAAGATGGGGAAGGGTGGGTTTGAGGCAAGCTAAAGATGTAGCTATCAGCAAGGACTGGCTATTTTCCTTTACGCTGATTCGAGGAAGGTTGCGCATCAGACTTCGTCGAGCCTTATTTTAAACAGGTCAAGTGTGGACACCGAAACAACCTTGTTTTGAAGACTATTCCGGGCGTTGACCGCAAAATGGGAGAAGAAGTTGACCCTTTCTGTCTAATGCACCAGGTTTGACCAGCTTCTGCTGGTGTCCCCTTAGGGTTGGGTTTTCACTGAGGGACAACATTTTCCAGCTAGGCTGCCAAACTCCCCTCAGTACCTTGAAGACCTCTATCAGGTCGCCCCTCATTTATTTGTGTGAGACAGAGAACAATTTTAGCTCTCTCAGGCTCCTCGAGTACGAGAATGTCCTGAGGGCAGGAAAAAGTTTAATAGATCGACTGTAAACGTTTCCTGGAGCCTTTTGGTTGCAAATGAGGATCGGCGCCCATGCCTGTCTGCAGTATTCGAGGTATGGTTGCACCAGGGCCTTTTAAAGGGGCCCTGTTACTGCAGGGTCCCCCGATGTTACTGTTCTTTTCAGTAAAAATCGGTGCCTTTGAAGCCTTTGTTGAGGCTAGCGGACACTGGCGGGTGGGATGGAAGTAAATGAGCATGATGATAGCCAGATCTTTAACCTGGTCGGTGATGTCCACCGGTGTGGGCACCGTGCCACTTATTAACCTCATCACTGGGAGAGATCCTCCTAAGAGTATCTGTTGGCCTTTGCCGGCGTTTAACGGAAGCAGCCATTTCGCCCTCCATTTTGAACTCCATGCAAGTCGTCCTGCATGCCGTTTGTAGAGGAGCAACTGGCGAGTTTTAGGTCGTCAGCGAACAGAAAGAAGAGGTGTTCTATCCTCTCTGTCAGATCTCCTACATAAATTGGGGATAGCAAGGGTCACAGCACGCACCCTTGGGGCACACCACAATAGACTGCTACCCGAGTGGACATTCCACCCTTTACTCTGACATAGAAAGACCGGACAGATAAGTGCTCCGTTGTCCATCTGACAGCCTGTTCAAACAGGCAGAATTTCAAGGTGAAAAAAGACTTCAAGACTTCTTAAATTTTTCGATCAACAGTCAGTGGTTGACCGAGTCGAATGCGTTTTGCACTTTTAAGTAAAAGACTTCTACACGTTCCCTCTTCGGGTGATTTCGTTTATGAAGTCAAGCAGGTTTGACAAGCAGAACCTTTTGTGCACAAAACCGTGCTGGTTGGGCTTTGGGCTAGGAGGAAATCTGCATAGGTGGTTAATCGCTCTTCTCACAAATCGAACCTTCGCAGTGAGATTAGGGGAGGCCAGTTCTCACGTCATGCGATTGACAAGTGGAATGCCTCAAGGTTCGGTTCTCGGACCGTTACTCTTCCTCTTATTCATCAACGACTGGACGAGGTTAATCAACTCACCTTGTTTCGTCTTCGCGGATGATGCGAAGGTGGTGGGATCGAGTGGTAGAGCTAACCTAGTGAGCGATATTGAACGGGTGGTTCAGTGGTCAAATGAGTGGGACTTGGCACTGAATGCGGCCAAGTGTCAACTATTGACCAAGCAAACAGATCCCTTAGTTGCTACTAGAACGTGGGGAATGTTGGAAGTCAATTCGGTAGGAACTGCCAAGGATCTTCGGGTAGTAATATATACAGATTTCAGCTGGGGCAGCCAATGCGAAATCGGAAATCACAAGGCACGGGGAGAACTTTTACGGCTCACATCT